TATATTCCAAACTTCCCATACTCGTCGCCTTCCTACTAAAGGCATTGGCCACTACATTGGCCTTCCCCAGATGGTACAATATAGTGATATCATAATCCTTTAGGAGCTCCAACCATCTCCGCTACCTCAAATTGAGATCGTTCTACTTGAACAAGTGCTGGAGGCTACAATAATCAGTAAACACCTCACAAGACACACCATATAGATAATGCCTCCAAATCTTCAATGTATGAACAATGACAGCCAAATCTAGATCATGAACGGGGTAGTTCTTCTCATGGGGCTTCAACTGACGAGAAGCATAAACTATCACTCTACCCTCATGCATCATCACATACCCAATACAAACTCTCGAAGCATCACAATACAATGTATATGAATGTGAAGTTGATGGCAAAACTAACACTGGAGCTGTGGTCAAGGCAGTCTTGAGCTTCTGAAAGCTCGCCTCACACTCATCTGACCACATGAAAGGAGCACGCTTTTGAGTCAATTTGGTCAAGGGTGATGCTATAGAAGAAAATCCTTAAAGGAACCGATGGTAAGAGCCCGCCAAACCAAGAAAGCTGCGAATCTCTATGGTTGAGACGATCTGGGCAAACTCTGAACCGCCTCTATCTTCTTCGGATCACCTTGAATACCCTCACTAGACACCACGTGCCCCAAGAAAGCCACTAAACTGAGCCAAAACTCACACTTGGAGAATTTTTCATAAAGTTTCTCCTCCCTCAACCTCTACAACATAACTCTCAAATGCTCCGCGTACTCCTCCTAACAAAGCAAGTATACCAGAATATCATCAAGGAATACAATAATGAACGAGTCAAGATAAGGCCGAAGTACGTTGTTCATCAAATGCATGAATACTGATAGGGCATTGGTCAACCCAAACAACATCACAAGGAACTCATAATGACCATATCGAGTCCTGAAAGCTGTCTTATTAATGTCCGAGTCCCTGATCTTCAACTGGTGATACCCTGAACGGAGATCAATCTTGGAAAACACCCTCGCTTCCTGAAGCTGGTCAAATAAATCATCAATACAAGGAAAAGGATACTTTTTCTTGATTTTGACCTTGTTCAAGTGCTTGTAATCAATGCACATCCTCATAGTGCCATCTTTCTTCTTCACAAATAGAACATGCGCACCCCATGGTGATACACTAGGCCGAATAAACCCTTAAACAAGGAGTTCCTGAAGCTGCTCCTTCAACTCTGTCGGTGCCATACGATACGATGGAATAGAAATGGGGTGAGTGCCCAGCACCAAATCAATACCAAAATCAATATCCTTGTCCAGTGACATACCCAACAGGTCTGCAGAAAACACATCTAGAAAGTCCCTCACTACCGGAACTGAATCAATGGTAGGATTCTCTGGACTAACATCCCTCACAAAGGCTAGATAAGAAAGACAGCCCTTCCCAACCATCCGTCGGGCCTTCAAAAATGAAATCACTCTACTGGGTACATAATTCGTCGAACCTCACCACGCAATCCGTGGCAGCCTCGTCATAGACAATGTCACTATCTTAGCATGACAGTCCAAAATAGGATGACATGGAGATAACCAATCCATGCCCAATAACACATCAAAATCAACCATACTAAGCAACTAGAGATCCGCTCGGGTATCCAAACCCCCAATAGGCACCATACATGACCGATATACATGATCTACAATAATAGTATCGCCCACCAGAGTAGATAGAACAGATGAAACTAGAGACTCTCCGGGCATATCCAAATAGTGAGCAAAATATGATGACACATATGAAAAAGTGGAACCAGGATCAAATAATATAGAGGCATCTCTGTGGCAGACTGAGATAATACCTATAATCACAACATCTGAAGCAATAGCATCTGGCCTGGCCGGAAGGGCATAGAAACAGGCTTGACCACCACCTGATCAACCTCTCCCTCTAGGGCGACCCCTAGCTGACTAATCTCTACCCCGAGCTGACTGAGCGGGTGGGGAAATAATTGGTGCTGAAGTCGAAGACTGACTCCTCTACTGAGATGAACCTCCCGTAAGATGGGGACTAAACCTCTTGATATGACCCAAATCTCTACACTCGAAGAAACCTCTCCCGACAAATGGTAGTGGGGACTGAAGGGAGCCTCTCGCACCTGGATGTCCCCTAGAAGAACCAGGCATAGATGAGCCCTGAACTGATGGTGCTCGAGTCAAACTCTAAGCTAGAAGGGCACTGAGAGATGAGTGAACCTGATGTGACATGTGAAAACGGTGTTCAGATGATCCATCACGATGGACCGAACAGGCTGGCTGAGCATGTCTGAATGGACGGCCTCTGCCGTGTTGAAATTGACCTCCCGAAGGAACATGACCAATACTGCCAGATCTCCAAGACCTCTTGGCCTCCCTGTCAACTCGCTCTTGGCAGAGAACCGACTCTATCTCTCAAGCAATGTCAACCACCTCCTCAAGAAAAGTACCAGACACCCTCTCTCTGGTTATAAGAATTCGTAACTGATAACAGATGCCATCCACGAATCTCCTGATCCTCTCCCTATGTATAGGAACCAACCAAACAACATGACGAAATAACTCAAAGAACCTCATCTCATACTGTGTCACATTCATATCATCCTAACGCAATTGATCGAACTACCTACGCAGCTCCTCTCTACGGGACTGCGGCAGATACTTCTCCAGGAAGAGAGCAGAGAATGGTTGCCAGGTAAGGGGCACTACACCAACAGGTCTACGCCTCTCATAAGCCTCCCACCAAGTGAAGGCAGCTCCAGAAAACTGAAAAGAAGTATATGAGACCCCACTAGTCTCCAGAATACCCGTTGTACATAACATCCTCTAACAGTTGTCCAAGAAACCCTGGGCTTCCTCGCCCTCTCCAATCGACGCTTCTCTTCATTAGGAATAAGAAGAACTACATAATCCCGAGCAGGTGTAACCAGCTGGGCTGGTGGTGCCTCCGGTGTTTGTAGTCCCTGAACAACTTGCTTGGGTGTATGGGAGACGGGAGTCTAAGTGCCTGACCCGTCCTTAAAAGTAGCTGATGTAATAGTAACTACGACTGCTTGAGCAAGACTGGTGCACACGATTAGAATCTGAGCCAAGGTCTCCTGGAGATCTGGAATAACAATAGACATAGTCGGTGCCTGAGCTGGTGCTGCTGGAGCATCCCCCGTTGGAGCCTAATCAAGAGCTTGGGCGGAGGGTGGATCTATAGGTGCTGCCCAAGCTGTTGAACAGGCTACACCCCTGCCCCTACCACGGCCTCGACCGCATCCTCAGCCTCTAGTGGCCCAAATTGGTGGTACTGGTGGTCGTCCATCCTGACCAGTAGCACGTGTCCTCACCATCTATGAGAGAATATAATAACATAAGTTTAGTACCAGAATCAACAGATTTGCACGACAAGAATTCAAGAATGTAAATTTTTTTCCTAAAGGTTCTGCAGCCTCTCGGGGATAAGTACAGACGTCTCCATACCAATCCGCAAGACTCTACTAAACTTTCTTATGACTCGTGAGACCTATGTAACCTAGGCTCTAATACCAACCTGTCATGACCCAAAAATCGACCCTGACGTGATGGCGCCTATCGTGAAACTAGGCAAACCAACTTACTTACAAATACTCCAGATTTCATTTAAAACTTAAGTAAAACCATATTTTGGACAAAAAACCGATAAAAGATATAAAGTAAAACCAAACAAAGCGTAAAATACAAGTCTGACCTCGGGTGTCACTAAGTTATGAGCAAAATACAATAACTATTTGAAATAAACAAGACTACAGAGTCTGAGAGTAGCCAACAAATACACTAAGAGGAAGATAAGGAAGGAGAAGGCGGGACTACGATCTCCAGGCAGCTACCTCGCTATCTCCAAGGAAAAAGTCCACCACTGAAATGATCAATAACCGCTACCGTGACCCGAGATACCTGGATCTACACACAAGGTGCAGAGGGTAACGTAGTACACCAACTCAGTAAGTAACAATTCCAAACTATGGACTGACAGGTAATAACGAACCAAACCTCAACAGATAATATCATTAAATTGTACAGAAAAGTAGACATGCTTGCACTTCAAGTAAAAATTCAACAATAAATAAATGAAGCATAAACGATACGGAGTATAAAGCTCAGGAATCTCTATGTACCAATGCGTAGATAGCATGATCAATGTTTCGTGTACCTCCACTCATAAGTGCTTAACCACTTGGTACTATATATGGCCATCCGGCCCAGGGAAGATCCATCCCGGAATATATATATCACTGATCGTAGTCATCCAGTACCAAGGAAAGCTATTCTATCCCTGTGGAGAAGATCCATCTCCAGGTATAAATACTTCGGACAATATCCATGTCCAAGGAAGATCCATCCCTCAATATCATCAACTGCGCTCACTAGGGGTGTGTTACAGACTCCGGAGGTGCTCCTACAGCCTAAGATCTATCATAATCATCAACATAACTGCTCCGGCGTGTAGCCCGATCCCATATACAGTCACTCACAACCAGGCTCTTGGCCTCAGTCACTCATCACTCTCCAGTCTCGCACACACGGGCTCATAATGTAATGATACTAGCCTGAATAATGATATGATGTGCCATATAACAATAATCAAGACTGAGGCATGATATATAATGCATAAACAGGACTGAGTATAGAATATCAATGAAGATAATGATATGACATCAAGAAACGACATCTCGGGTCTCAATTGTATTGGCATGAAGCCCTAACACGATATCTAGCATGTTTTCACAGCACATTTACTTATTCACATGATAGAAATACGGATATAAACAAGAAAGAGTTAATAAGCAGTGCCATGGAATGATCCAGGGCACAATTCTCATGGTGCATGCCCACACACCCATCGTTGCCATTCGCATCACCTCAATAGAAATCATAGAACACATAGTTCGGTGTTTCGAACCCTCAGAACCAAGTTTGGAAGCGTTACTTACCTCAAGCCAGGCCAAACTCTAGCCTGCGATGCCCTTGCCTCTCGATCGGCTTCCAAATGCCCCAAATCTAACCAAAATAATTATATTATCATCAATATACGCTAAAGGAATGAAACCTATACGAAAATTATCAATTTAACTCAAAAATCCCGAAATTGACCAAACTAGACTCTGGGGCCCACGTCACGGAATCGAATAAAATCATAAAACAGAAAAACCCATTATCTCACGAGTACCTATATAAAATTCATCAAAATCCGACGTCAAAAGGTCATCCAAATCCCAAAAATCCATTCTCCAATTTTTCTGTTATTTCCCCAATTTTTACCCCAAATTCTCAAATTAAATGATAAGATTCAAGACATAATTATGGAATTTAGCCCAAAACAAGTGAAGAACATTTACCCCAATCACTCCTTTGAAAATCCTCTCTAAATTCACCTTCTCCCAAGCTCTCTAATGAGTTTTTGAAAATATGAACTCAACTCTCATTTTTTGAACTTAAAGATTCTGCCCAGACACTTCCTTCTTCGCGAACGCGGTCAAAGCCTCGCGTTCCTGAAGAACAAAAATTACTGCCCAATTATTCCTCTTTTGCGAACGTTGTTACACCTCCTTTTTACACCTGAAAGAGAATATAAGGGAGTTTTTCCAATTAAAATTACATAAATCGAAATGAGATTATTTTATTTAATTTCAGAATTGCCACTTGGAATAATTTAGGGTGTCCCAAGTCACCGGCGTATTTTAAATCCCAAATCGAGGAAATTGACTTTACTTAAAAGTTTGCGAAACCAAAAATCTTAGGTAAGGAATTCTATTAACCCGGGAGAAGGTGTTAGGTATTCCCGGGTTCTGTGGTTCGAGCACGGTCACTTAACTATTTAATTGGCCTAATTATGTGATTTATTACATATTTTAAACTTATTGTACATTTTTTAACTTTATAACCGCTTTTATTTATTTACGGGATTTGTTGAACAAGGCGCGATTGTCGCACACTTGTTTGTTTGTGTAAACATTGTGAATCGTGTCACGGGAACCGGACCCACAATCTACAACATGCTTATTTTATTATTGTTTGAAGTTATGGTCGGGTCACATGAAATGCACACCCGAATTGGGATTTACGTATCGTGACTATGCCACGGGAACCGTACCCATAGCCACGATGATTTAAAATTAATCGTGCCTAAAGAAAGCTACAATAATTATTATTATCTACTTCTAAGTTGGCGATTTGAGCCTCTCGTAAGTTCTATCACTATGGTTATGAGACGTATTGGCAAGAAAAATGTTCAGTTACATTATCTGAAACCAAAGCAATCAAGATAAAGGCATTTTGTTTTGATAGGCTCAGGTAAATTGGTCTCTTTTCCTCGGCCAAGGTACATGTGTTACGCTCTAAAGTGATTTTAATCTGCTTCTATTAGATGAAGCAAACTTATCATCACTGACTACAACTTTCATGGACAACGAGAAAGAAATGTTAAGAATGAACTTCTACTTTGGAATGATGCATTCTACTAACTTTATTATCTATGTTCTTATAAGAGTTCCTTATTTTAGCAAAATTTACAACAACAAAAAAATACAAAGTAAAAATAAAAATAAAAGAGCTTCAAGTTTTAGAGTAAATACTGAACTAAAATCTGAATTAATTAGTACACAAATGACTACTTTCAATGCCTATGAAGTTTTAATTGAGCTAGGCACTAACAAATTCCTAAATTCCATACCAACAGTGATGGTATTTCACCTCCGAGCCATAGATCTGCTAGAACACCTCCATATATATAAGAAATCCATCATAAGTTAACAAACAATCCAAACCTTAACAAATACGTACTTCTCGTTCAAACCATAGAATTGCCTTTTCATGATTGTTTCTTATTATTACTCAAATTTTCATTATGGTTTTAGATATTCATCACATCGAACACTTCAAAACCAAACCCAAGCATGCAGTCAGAAATGAAAGAGCACCCAGTACACATGTCAATGAACAGCAATTGAGATTTCATATCAATGGGGCATCCAAATAGCAATTACATTATTTGAGACCAAAAGCACATACCTTAACAGCAGTAGTGCAACTTATAATAGCCAAGTAAGGAATATATTCAGCAAATTAGGGTTCAGCTACCCACATAATAGCAAAATCAACCGGCAAATGAGACTCTCACAGCTCAATTAAACTTCAAAGTTTCCAGAAAATATCCAGTAGAGGAACCGTGAGAGAATTAATGAGCATTGTCTGTGTGAGTGTGTATTTATGATCTCTTTGTGGAGAGTGAGGCGTGTATCTATATTAGGAAAAAGGGGGTTTGTTCTTGGTGGTGATGAAAATGGAGAAGCCCTGAAATTCCCAGATGCGTCGTTGCTCTTTTTCTAAGGGTGAGGTCTTCTAATTATTGTTCCCTAGGTTTTCTAATGTCTCTCCATAAAAATGAAATGGGAAGTGATTATTTAGTGAGGGTTTTATGTAGGTGGGCTTTGGACGGTCTTGGGCTTGAAGGGATTTGGGTCATAAAAATTAATTTGGCCATTTTAGGAATTGGCCCAATTTTAAAAGAAACAAGACCAAAATATATTCTTCCTATTTTCCTTTTCTTTGTTTTTTTTCCTTTTTTTAAATTAATTAAAATCCTAAATTGATTAATCTATAAAATCAAACAAATTATCTATTTATAATTTTTACAAAATTAATTAATCATAAATTGATGAAGAAAAAATTACTAATATAATATTAAGAGCCAAAAAATGTAAAATGGATAATATTTTGTTGTGATTGTTTATTTTAATAAAGCAATTACTTAACCAATTAATCCTAAAACATGAACACAAAACCTAATAAGCAATGCATAAAATTTTGACATTTTTGGGGCATTTTTCATGATTTTAACAAAAGACGTGCACAAAAATGCAAACAATTAATAAAAATCCTACAAAAATCCTATAAAATTGAAAACAATTAGGAAAAATCTATTTTCTTTAAATTTGTAGGAGTAATTTTGATAGGGTGTCTACTTGTCACGAAAAACTTCTATGTAATGAAGCTTGTAATAGGCTAGCAAGCTTAGGAAACAAATGCATCCTCTGAGATGCGAGTCATGCCGACTATGTACTAGATGTTCCTTAGTTATTAATATATCTATTTCCTATTTGCTCAAAAAATATCTGATAGGGCAAAAATCACACGCTCACAGTTGCCCCTCTTTGTTCGGAAACACGAAGAGTTTTCGGGCAAATATCAAATGAGCAATTTTGAACGATTTTTGCTCGTCTGGATACTCCCTAGGAAGCATTTTTTGGAAAAAATCTGACCAAACCTTGCTTCAGAGGTTGCCTACATATCCTTGGCTATAAAGGAATCAAGTCAGTTTATTTCTGAAAGTTTTGGCAGCTGGGACTATCGAGAAACTGTGATTTCAATGTTGTTGCTGTTGTTTCTGCTTGCTGAGCTCCTTATTACACCAAAATGAAAGATGAAAAGCTAAACTAGCTAAACCTATCAACTACGAGTTACAAGTTTCCTATCTATAAACCTTCTAAAGCTTGATCTAGAATCTTGGTTGGTTCTTCCTGCAGACTCTGATCTAAATTTTGATGCTCGTTAGCTGCAACCACTGATTCATTCTTCTTCAGCTTTTCGGATCAAGGCGGGACATGCAAAGCTTATGACTTCAATCATATGTTCAGCAGTCCGCATCTTTTCTCCACTTCTACACTTAGAGTTCAACTTCTTTTTTTTTTGGATTGAGACTTCTTCTTTTGGTCATCTCAAACCTAGTGCCTTACGGTAAAAACCTGTTGAGGCATCAAAACAAACAAACGAATGAAACTTTTCTGCCCTAGTTTTCACTAGGAAAATTGCGTGAGTTATTGTAACGAAAATCTAAACTACTTCTTTATTGAAAGCAATAAAAACATGATTGTGTATCTTTAAGAAAAACAGATCAGGGTGTGGAGACCCTATATCTAAAATGACTTTAATTGGGGATCGGAGGCCCTAAGTTGGAAAGATTACCAGGTTATACTAGCATCAACTAAGGAATGGGACCCCAGGTTATGTTGGCATCAGCTAGGGAGTGGGACCGTATGTTGGAAAAGATTACCAGGTTATGCTGGAAAAATTATCGGGTCACGCTGAAAAAGTCATCGGGTTATGCTGGGAAAGTCATCGCGTTATGCCGAAAAAGTCATCGAGTTATGCCGGAAAAGTCATCGGGTTATGCCGGAAAACGTCCTCAGGTTATGCCGAGAAAGTCATCGGGTTATGTCGGGAAGTTATTGGGTTATGCCGGAAAAGTCATCGGATTATGCCGGAAAGTCATCGGGTTATGCCGGAAAAGTCCTCGGGTTATGCCGGGAAATTCATCGGGTTATGCCAGAAAAGTCGTCGAGGTTATACCGGGAAGTCATCGGGTTATGCTGGAATCAACTAAGGAGTGGGACCTTATGTTGGAAAAGATTACCAGGTTATGCTGCCATCAGCTAGGAAATGGGACCCTATGTTGGAAAAGATTACCAGGTTATGCTGGCATCAGCTAGGGAGTGGGACCCTGTGTTGGAAAAGTCGCAGCTAGGGATTGGAGACCCCATACTACCATGATTTTGAATTTGTTCTTCTTTTCTTTATTTTCATTTTATTTCATCATCATTTTTCATTTTTTTTATATTTCAGAGAATGAGTAAATGCGGGAAAGAGTTTTGGAGGAGACTTCCCTTTTTGGGTTGTTGATGCAAAGCTATTTCTAGCCCTTGTGCAGTTTCTTTTTGGTTGCACCTACTTCTTGTAAGGTTACTTTTGGATTTCCATGTTTCCTATTTTTTCAAACAAAGAACAATTTGTTAGTTTGAAATGGTGGTTGGTTTTGTGGCCTTGAGCGTTTCAATCACTTGATCTCGGCTCGGCTTCTTTGATGAAGATTTCAACTGCAACTGCTTGTTCCTTGAGTACCGATTTCATTTCTAACCCTGGAGAACCTCTAGCTTTTCCAGACTTTGCCATGACGGTTGGACACATGGGACTCAATCTTTTTGACTTTATTTTGCCTTTGTAGGCCTTTCACTTTGGAACATTGGGGAACTTTTGACTCCTTAAACTTTGTCGCAACGGCTAGTCGCGTGGGACTTAACCTTCTCCAACTTTATTTTGCCTTCATAGGCCTTTCATTTCTATAATTTTTCTTCCAACTTTACTTTCTGAGCATTTGGGGTACATTTGCTTTTCAAACCTTTGCCGAGACAGTTACCCACGTGGGACTTGACCTTTTCAACTTCATTTCCCTTTATACACACTTCAATTTGATTTTCTCCTTTCAAGAATTTTGATTTCGAAGCATCAGCCTCCATGGCCAGTCAGGGTCGACTTGATGCCCCTGACGAGGCTGAGTGCCTTTTGCATATGAGCTTGTATCAATTGAACGCCATGTAAATCAGTCTTGCTATCTCTTCTTTGCCTCAGTTTTGGAACAGAGTAAGACCGAAAGGGATTCAAAGAAAACAAATAATGGAATGGAGAATGGGTTTAAACAAGAAGTGTCCCTTTCGGGGAAAGGAAAGAAGGACTTGTCTGGAGTACATGCAGACTTCAATGAACATGACATGCCGTTTGAACTGGATGTTTGATCTGTGCAAACCGTCCAACTCTCAGAAATTCATCACAACTTATTCTTTTAAACTAAGAAACCTTGCCCAGATTCTGTTGATGGCAAACGGTCATGAGGATCCTCTTTTCGATCGGTGGCGCCCTTTGTGGGTTTTCACCAGCTAACCTCTCTCGTTTCTATTCTCACTGTTGCCTTATAGTGCTCTTTCCGAGTTTTCACTAACAAGACTCTCCTTTTCAATTTTTCTTTTTGCTATAGCCTCACGGTGCCCGTGTGGGTTTTCACCAATTAGACACTCTCATTTTATTTCTCTCATTTTGAGTGCATCGAATCCAAGTAGTTGTATTCTCTGATCCTTGAACATTCTCACCGATTGATCGGAAGGACTTGTAAGAATTTGGGTAAAAATGATTTGGATTGAATTACAACTTTGGAACCATTCAGGCGGGATCATCGCCAAACCATTATAACATCTGCCCCTGTTTCACTTTTGGGGAAATGTGAATTTTTATTTTGGTGTGAGTGAACCCCAGAGAGAGGCTGCCTACATATGCCTTCGGAATCAAGTCGAACATTGTTCAGGAAACTTTGTTTTTGATTTTCTTTTGTTTTTTTCTTCTGTTTTGTTTTGTTTTCTCCTTCTTATTCCTTTCCTTTTTCCTCTCTTTTTCGTTGTTTTTTTTTCAATTCATTTTCTTTGACTTTCTTCCTTCTTCTTTTTTCTTTTCCTCTCTTTTCATTTTTTTTATTTCATTTGATTTTTTCAATAGCACTTTCAGGTTTCAAAGAGGGGAATCAAAGAAAAGTAACCGGCTCAAAGGGTTTGCAAAGGGTTGATAGTGTTTGTGTAGCTAGAATAAAAGTCGTATTCATCTCAACCAGACAACATTTATGTTATATACATGATCTAGCATAGTACCTTTTGGTTTCAGTTGCATTTACATTTGTTTTTGGACATTTCCTTCGATGTTTTCCCGGTACAACGCTCTCTTTGGCAGTACCCATGTTACCATGTATGGATTTTTCCAATCTGGAGCCAATTTTCCTTTAGCTGTTCCAACTCTTTGTTTTATTTCCTTAAACTTATCTTCATTGCAATCTAATTCTTAATTCATTATTTTGAAATCTGACAGCGTTTTAGGATTTGAGCATGAAGTCTGCAAGCGTGTCATGTTATTGAAATTTGCATTTAACAGACATAAAAAGAGAATAAGAAAAAATGACAAGATTTAGAAAAGAGACATTCCTAGACAATGAAATATTAATTTTATTTGATTTTTGATTGATTTTTTCTTTCTTTTTTTTTCAATTTTTGTAGAGAAAGAAGGGTTTACATTGGAACGTAAGACGATAAAGTAAAACATCCGGATCACACCCTAAGATAATCCGGACGCAAAAAGGATAGGAAGACTGGCTACTAAGACTCCCGTCTGATAGAGAACTTTCATGTTTTGAGACCATTTTTTGGCTTTTCTTCTGTCTCGGTAATGGCTGCAATGGCCTTAAGTGCCAGATCAAATTCCTCATCTTCACAAATCATTCCAGCTATTGGCCCGATGTTGTAGGCAGGCAACAGATTGTTCGTCACATAAGAGTTTCTTCATCCCGAAAAATAATTCTTTCAGCTTCAATCAAATCTTCAACTGCCCTTTTGAGGGTCCAACAATCCTCTGTGTTTCACTGCTCCAGAGTGGTATTCACCTCTAGTATCAGCTCGGTGCGATGGGGACTTAAGGTTCGGCCGGTTCGGGGCCACTGGCTGCAATAGATTTAGCCTGATTAGCCTTTGGAACAAGCTTGAATACAATTTA